TCTAATTCATATTTACAAAGCATATCCCTCTCAGCCTTTGGTTATTTTGGTATATTAAAGTGGTACCACTTAATTATTAGTGATAACAAGTTATCTGCCTCATACCACAGTTGGTCAAGACATCTTTGCCAAGAATCGTCTGGAACTTCTTTGCTCTTTTTTCTCCCATTTCCCTCCAAATACTTTTAAACATCTTAATAAACCTTGTGACTTTGTACATCTTCAGTAACCCTCATCCAGTTGTTCACCAAGAAAATTTTTTAAAAACACTGGTGACCAGGTCAAATTAATTTAAATTCTCTAAAATTATTTTTTAAATCGTGTCATATAATGGGTAACCAAAGGTTTTAAGCCTTTGTTCCTTAACCACTGTTCTCCTTTCCCTTCCATTTTTTATTTATCAAAATTCTACTCATTCTTATATCACCTATTCAAATATCACCTCCTCCATGAAGGACTCTCCAAGCATTTTCCCTCCTCCATCAATCCTATTCTTTTCTCTCACCATGCTCCTAAAACATTTGCTTCATGGTAATGCTAATACACAGCATTTCACATTGTAATAGAGTTAATTTCCTGTCTCCCTCGAAAGATTGTAAATTCCTTGATGTGAGCTGTCTCATACATCTTTCTTTAATACCTAAGTCTTAACAAATCCTATTTGTTAATTTAAATTTAACTGTTCAGACAGTGGAACAAAATACAATTAATTTCCTCCTCAAAAACATCAGAAGTAACAGATTCTTAATTAGTTAGTGGGTCATACCTTGTTTGAAAAATAAAGTATTGTATGATGTTGCTAGACATTACTACTTCAGAACAAGCCTTTAAATCTCAAAGCAAAAGGACACCTTTTCTTCTCTTGGAAGAAGCAAGAGGACATTTACCTACAATCCTCCTTCTGCAAAGTTGGAGTCAGTGAAGCAGCAGGATAGCATCCCCTGGGGAGCTTGTTAGGAATGCTAAACCCCAGGTTCCTCCCCAGACCTCCTGAATCAGATGCTGCATTTTAATAAATTCTAATAACTCCCATGCACTTTAAAATTGAAGAAACACTGCCATCCACATTCTCTTCCCAATTCATTTTGAAGAGAGAGAGAGAGAGAAATAAATAAATAAATATACTTTCTATTTTGCTCTGCCAGAACTATTGCCACGATCTGCAGATTCTCTTTCAGATTCCCAACTGAATCCACACATCATTATTCTGTAAACCCGTCTCGTTCTTTTACCCTAGTGATTTTAAATGCTAGCTACAAATCAGAATCACCAGGGAGACTTTAAAGAGTACAGATATCTGAGCCCCTTCTCTAGAATTTCTGATTTAGTTGGTCAAGGAGACCTGGTCTTGTTGTCTTAAAAATTACTAATCTATTTTACCTTTCCTATCATCAAGAAGAAATGCTCACCTGGCATGGTGGCACACTCCTGTAACCCTAGCACTTGGAAGGCAGAGGCAGGAGGATCTCAAGTTCAAGGCCATCCTGGCTACATAGTGAGAACCTGTCTTAAGAAAACAAGGGCTAGGGATGAACTCAATGGTAGAGCACTTGCCTAGCAAGGCCCTAGGTTAGAACTCTACCACTGCAAGCAAAAAAAGAAGAGAGAGAGAAGGAAATAAAAGCACAAACAAGAGCAATTATTAATAATATTCTCTTGCATTGGTTATAATTCCCCTGTTAACTCAATTGGAGATATTTAGATTTCCTTGATAGTTTGTCCCAATGTCTAATGATTCCTCCATCAGAAAATTTGAGGAGATATTTATAGAACATTTTTGTCCCATTGGCTCATGGAAAAGCACTTCTAAGATTATCACTCTGCTAGTGACCAAAGAAAAAAGTTGTTGGCTGCTTGGGGTCTTTTCTGGTTCTATATGAATTTTGGGGTTGTTCTATTTCTGTGAACACACTGGAATTCTGGTGAGAATTAAATTGAATGTAGATCACTTTGGGTAGTAGGGACGTTTTAACCATCAGCTCTTCCAATCGATGAACATGAGACCTTTCCATGTATTTGTTTCTTCCTGCATTTCTTTCATCAATATTTTACAGTTTTTTGTGTACAGATCTTTCACCTTCTTGGTTAAATTTACTCCTAAGCATTTTATTTGTTCTAATACTATTATAATTAGGATTCTTTCTTAATTTCTTTTTCAGATTGTCTATCAGTTCTAATGTGTGTGGTTTTTTCTTTCTTGAATCTTTAAAAGAACAAAAGTGGGAGCATAACAATCCTCGGTTTCAAAATATATAAAAAATTCTATAGAGCTAGTCATGGTGGTGCACACCTGTAAAAGGATTCCCAAGTTCAAGGCTAGCCTGTGCTACACAGTTAGACCTTGTTTCAAGAAACAAAAATTAGACAAAAGAAGTGATTGTAATTAAAACAGCATGTCCCTAGCATCAAAAACAGACATTATTAATCAAGGAGCTAGAATAATAAATTCAAGTATTTATGGTCAATTGATATTTGATAATGTGCCAAGAACACACAATTGGGGAAAGTGGAGTCTTTTCAATAAATCTTGTTGGGAGAACTGGGTAACCATATGCAAAAGAATGAAATTGAGCCCTACCTCACACACCATGTGCAAAAATCAACAAAAATGGATAAAAGACTTAAATGTAAGATCTGAAGCTGTAAAGTTACTAGAAGAAAACACTCTATAACATTGGTCTAGACAATGATTTCTTAAGTAGGACTCCAAAGGAATAGACAACAAAATACAAAATAAACAAATGGAAGTCTATCAAAACTAAAATGTTTCTGTCTAGCAAAGAAAGCAACTAACAGACTGAAGAGACAAACCATGAGTTGGGAGAAAATATTCACAAGTAGCCATCTGAAAAGAGGCTAATATCCATTGTGTATAAGGAACTCAAACAACTCAATAGTAAAAAAATAAATACATGATTTTAAAATAGAAAGGATCTGAACAGATATTCTCTAATAAGATACAAATGGTCAATAGGCATATAAAAAAGTTCAACATCACTAATCATCAAGGAAATGAAAATGAAAACCACAATGAGATATAATTTCATACCTGCTGGAATGGCTATTATCAAAAAGAACAATGATAGCAAGTGTTGGTGATGAACTGGAGACAAGGAATGTTTGTGTACTGTTGGTGGGAATATACATTAATGTAGTCATTATGGAAAATAATATGGAAGCTCCCTTCAAAAAACTAAAAAAGAACTATCATATGATCCAGAAATTCTACTTCTTGGCATATATCTAAAGGAATTGAAATCAGTGTGTAAAAGACATATCTGCACTCCTGTGTTCATTTCAGAATTGTTCACGTTAGCCAAGTTATACAATCAACCTAAGTATCCTTAAATGGCTGAATGAATAAAGAAAATATGGTGTCTATACAAAATGCAATATAATTCAGCCCTTAAAAAGAATGAAATTTGGTCATTAATGATGATAAGAATTGAACTGGGAAATACTATGCTAAGTGTAATAAGTCAGGCCAGGGGGACAAATACTTTATGCTCTCTCTTATGTGTGGAATCCAAAAAATGTTGATCTCACAGAACCATAGAGGAAAATGGTGATAACCAGAGACTGGGGCTAGGGGCAAAGGATAGGGAAAGGGAAAATGCTGCTCAAAGGAAACAAAAGTCTGTTAGATTAGAGGAATAAATTTCATTGATCAACTATTGCATGCTAACCACAAATAATAATAAGGTATATTTCAAAGTTGCTTTAACATTTCACTACAGAAAAAAAAGAGAAGTTTGATAGGTGATAGATAAGCTAACTAATGTGACTGAATTTTGCTACAATATATAGATAGATCAAAGCCTCACATTGGGCTAAGGATGAAGGTCAGACGTAGAGCACTAGTCTAACTGTGCAAGACCCTGGGTTTCATCTCCAGAACTTCACACGCCCCCCCCTCCCCCACACACACTCACACACCTTATAAATATATAAAATTATCATTTGTCAATTAAAAAGAAATAAATTTTTATGGAAAATCTTGTTTGGGACTTCATGCCAAATTCAACCCAATATGAATCTGGCCATTGGAATACTTTATCTTTTTAAAATGTATACTTGTTACTAAATAGATTTGCAGCTACTATCTTTCTTTTTCCTAACACATGGCATAAGCTCTTTTAGCCAGCCATGGCAGTTACACAGCATGGGAGGCATTAAGTACTAGTCACCAAAGAAAAGGGCTGGCTGGGAAGAAGATTTTCCATTTCCAACACCCTTTCATCATCATTTTTCCTTTTTTCTCTCCTTGGCTTCCCTGAATGAATGAAGATGGCAGGAGGAGCTCTGTTTGGGCTGGGTAAGTAGAGGGTTTTCTGAAATGCTGACATGATGGCAGGACATTTCAAACAACACAGCAAATCAGGGGAACTCACAAAAATCCCTTAAGCCTCATGAAGATTAATGCTCTATTATGTTCTGTTAACCTGTGGCATAGAATGGACTAAATTTCCAGGCAGCTTCAGCAAATTTATGTCCACCCCTGAGATGAATAACATCCACAGTATTTCAGAAGTGAATTCTATGTAAAGTCCATCAAAAGCGCATGAAATCATTTCATAATGTTCTACAACACAGTTCAATCTGCCTTAGGTGCTGGGAGGCCCCTTTAATTATTTCTCAGATACAGCCATGGTCCTGGAATTAAAAACTGAGCTCTATAGTGAATTGCAGGATGAACTTTGAATTTGTTCACTCCTGCAGCTCAGTTAAACTTCTGCATGGTTTTTGTAACTTCCTTGGTCCCACATTCTTAAATGAACCAGTCTACCCCTCCCCATACCAAACCAAGAACCAAGGAATGAAAATACTATTGGGAAGAAAATTTACATGTTTTTATTTTAACTTGAATTATGAATCACATTCTATCTTATGCCTAAATTTAAGAAATGTTTAGAACTGTAGAGCCATGTCACCTGAGCATTTAATGAAACATCCAAGGAACAGCTATCTGATCAGAACTAACAAAAATCAAAATTACTCACCCAGCATATGTGTTCTTGTCAGATATCATGGATCTATTGGAGGCAGGTAAAATGGAAGCCATACTTTGTAGGATCTTGATATCAGAAAAGTGAAAGATTGGATTTGTTATTAAATTGTAGAGTTAATCCTGATAGGTCAGCTCCCAGTTACAATGACATCTTCCCTTAAGATTTATATTTTCTTCTGTCGTTGTTAATGGAACTCTTCGCTTAGTGTTTCAAACTCTTTCATCAGTTTAAAATGCTGTCCCTAACATGGCCTTTTATACTACAATCTTGCTCTCAGAACATCATTCCCCAAGAAGATAGGCTCTCTTGGAAGGTGTGGCAGCCTATCTCTGACCAGGTTGGTTAGCTCGTTAGGTGTTGACTAGCATACCTTCCCCGTTAACATCTGACTTTGTTCCCAACATTGGTCTGGTGTGGCACATGGCCTGTGTGTTTGGAAACAACTGTATGTGGGTGTAAGTCCTCTTTCATTTTCCAAGCTGACCTCACCAGATTATCTCAAAAGTGTGTCTAGTCCATGTGAGAACCTTCAGTGCTCAAACATTCATTGTTATATCCTATTCCACCTCTGGCCAACTTGTTTTCATTCTCTGTGACCACAGTAAGGAAAACATCCAAACTCAGGACCTTAGAACATCCCTTCATCTGAACTTTGCCTATTTGAGTTCACACAGAAGGTCTGATAATTAAACAAAGCTTGATTCCCAGGGTCTCTCTACTTAGTTAAACCCTAGGTTACCTCTAAACTTCACTAAACCATGTGTCTGGGTGTCAATCCAGGTAGAATAATAAATTAAAGCCTATCATTTTCAGAGAAGAGTGTATATTAAGAAATCTGTGGATTCACTACTTTTTGCTAATACCTCTCACTTTTTACTTGGGGTCTGGGGATGGATCTAGAAGACTCTAGAAGAACTTTGTCCTAGGGTTGAATAAGTGACTCAAGTGATAGAGCGCCTGCCTAGTAAGTGTGAGGCCCTGAGTTCAAATCCCAGTCCTGCAAAAAAAAACAAAAACAGAACTTCATCATGGTCTTTTATCTCCCCTTCTCTATTCCTATGGTAATTAGCTGAATTTCTATACTGGTGAGAGCTTTACCAACATTGGTAGCATGACTTTCAAGCAAATCTGAACTTAAAATGTTCATCAGGGCCAAACAGAAGCAGATACAAGGTGTTTCATTATGTGCGTGGACTTTAAGAATGTGCATAGCAGTCAGAATCCAATTGCTCATCTCTTAACCGAGGTCTCCAGGTACAAATTGCTTCACTTCCTGGTGATGATTATTCTTGGTAAACCCCTCACATTCTATCTTGAACCCTTTCAGTCCACTGTGGGCAGGATGGAAAGGAAAGAAATAGGGAAGTCTTAAGTTGGGGAATAATCAAAGAAGCCTAATTTTTGCTACTGCCACTACCAAACATGTATTTGTGATTTTGACCAAGGTAGCCAAAGCTCCCCAGGAAAACTTAAAACAAAATAAAGCCTGAATATGTGTGCTGCCTTTGTATCTTGGGACAGTGGTTCCATTTGTTGTTTTTAATAATATGTATCTCTGACTCCATGACCAACTTCAAGCTGGTCTACATGCTGCTCTTTGCCAACAATCACTGGTAACTTTGAGATTCACTTGCTCACTGACTACCCCTGAGACCTTCACATTTTTACTTGGTATTTCATGCCATAACTCTCCATTTATCTTTAGGGCATAATGAGGAGGACCACCAAATTCTAGTCTGGCCTTTACCACTGTCTCTGACAGGTAAAGGTGTTAGCTGATTCAGTAAATGCTGGGTAATTAATTACTCCATTGGACTAATTAACATGTCTGTTTCTAGTGCAGGTTCTGTCAACAATGACCTTGCTCACTTAATAGTGTCAGGGAAGCCAGCTAAGATGTATGGACTCCACGTAGCTTCCCTGGACATTAGGGAAAGTGGTCATCATTTGGGTGAAGTTTGGCATAGTCTCATAGAATCTGTGAGTACTGACTAGTGTCTTCTGAGCAATTTTCAGTCTTCTGCAGACTCAATACTATTCTTTTGGTACATTGTTTCTTGGCCTTTTTTGGTTTTTTTTGATTGATTGACTATATTGCAAAAAGTCAGTTGCCCTAACAAGAATGGGGAAACATTCTGGTTTGGGAAAGCATGAGTGGGAGTGCACGAGGCCAACTCAGGTCCAGCTGCTGGGTGTTTTGCAAACAAAAGTTGTGGCCAGCAGAGCCCCATCGCTCATCATGTGATTCTTCCCAGCCTTTGATGAAGAGAGGGGCCTGCAGCAGCAGCACCAGATCCATGCTCTGAAGTGTCTGGCCTGCAATGTTCCCCCGCACAGAAAGCATTATCATGTTCTTGCTCCCATGACAGTTTTCTGTTTGGCTTAATTGTGCCTCTGAACCTCTGACCCTGGAGTCCTGGCCTGCAGCTGGATGGTATTAGGCTTCTTCCCAGCTGCTGTGTCTCAGTGTGTGGGACTTCCATGTGTGGGCTTAGAACCACACCCACCCCCTAAAGCAGGGCTTTGATCACTCTGGGCAGGACCACAGCTAGGAATTTGGAGCTCCTAGAAACTTATGCAAGGGCCTAGCTATCTACCATGTGCTGGATCCTGTGTTGAGTGCCGAGGGTGCAGAGAGGAGAGTGAAGGTGTCACCTTAAAAGAATTTACACTCTTGTTGGAAAAGGAAATGACAGGTAAGGAATATGACAGGCCAGAGGAAAAACACCAAAGCCAGACTGGATATGAAGGAAGCTTCTGGGAGCGCTGATGCCTACGGTTGCCTCTTTTAATTTTTTTTTTTTTTTGTGGTACTGGGGATTGAACCCAGGTCCTTTTTTTTTTTTTTAATTGGTGATACTAGGGTTTGAACTTGGCCTCACGCTTGCTAGGCAAGTGCTCTACCATTTGAGTCACTTGGTCTCTTTTTTTTTTTTTTGAATTCTTTTTTTTTTTTTTTCATTTTTCTTTTATTATTCATATGTGCATACAAGGCTTGGTTCATTTCTCCCCCCTGCCCCCACCCCCTCCCTTACCACCCACTCCACCCCCTCCCGCTCCCCCCCCTCAATACCCAGCAGAAACTATTTTGCCCTTATCTCTAATTTTGTTGTAGAGAGAGTATAAGCAATAATAGGAAGGAACAAGGGTTTTTGCTGGTTGAGATAAGGATAGCTATACAGGGCATTGATTCACATTGATTTCCTGTGCGTGGGTGTTACCTTCTAGGTTAATTCTTTTTGATCTAACCTTTTCTCTAGTACCTGTTCCCCTTTTCCTATTGGCCTCAGTTGCTTTAAGGTATCTGCTCCTTGAGCTTGCCTAGCAAGTGCTCTGCTACTTGACCAATGCCCTGAGCCCTTTTGTTTTTATTTTGTTTGGGGATAAGGTCTTGCTAACTGTGCCAGGGCTGGCCTTGAGCTCATGATCCTGAGTAGCTGGGGTTATAGACATGTACCACCACACCCAGGTATAAACCTGAAAATTAGGTATCAGGATGGGGTGAATATAAGAGGTCTGAGCTCCTGGCCAGGGAACAATGTGTAAAATGACATAGAAAGCATCACCTTTAAGAAACTATTAATAGCTCTATATGGTTTTTTTAATTCCTAAGTCTTTGCACCAGAACTTCTCAGGTGGAGCCCTGGTGACTTCCAGTATTTGAGATTTCTTGTATTTTAAAAACTAAATGCCACTTAAGAATGGGCACCTTAACTCTTTTAATAATGCAGTTTAACTGAGCCATCCATAAGACATTGCTGGCCTTGTAAAAAGTTTCTTAAGTCATCACACATTGTAAGTTTAACGAAACACTAGTTTAAAGGTGCCTTAATGATTACCCCTCTTTTAGTCAATTGGTAAGTGTATGCATGTACGCACATGAAGTGCACCCCTGTAATCCCAGCTATGCAGCAGACATAGGAAGGAGGATCATGACTTGAGGGCAGCCCACAGCAAAAAAGTATCAGAACCTATCTGAAAAATAACTAAAGCAAAAACAGGCTAGGGGAATAGCTCACATGACAGCTTAGCAAGGGACAACCTGAGTTCAAATCCCCAGTACCACCAATAAATAAATGAAGTCTGATTTTATATCAAAGGTATCTCTCCCCCACCAGCCCACAGGCACAGGTCTATTTCCTTGAGCCCATGCTTTGGATTCTTTCTCTTTCTCAGAGACAGCCCTTTCTGATCTGGGACCAGAGTCCCAAGTTCCCCTCCAGAAGGGCATATATGTTCACCCAAAGCTACAGTAAGAAACACACATTCTCACACCCCAACCTCACAGTCCGTGGGGAGTAGGGTATCAATATACAGCACCACTTTCATTTTTCCCTCCTTCTTTGATAAGTCTCCAGTGGAGACAGGGTAACACAGGGTTCCCCCTTCCACACCAGACTCCACAGACTCCACCATTCTGCCTATAGCAGCATGAAGGGATTAAAAGAGCCTTAAAAATGTCTTAAGCTACCCACTCTGATGTTCTACAGTGAATTTATTATTTCATTTATTCATTCACTAAAAATTAACTGAGCATGCACTAGACTCTAGGAAGTCTACAAAATGCTAAAAATAAATCTGTCCTTTGTCCCTCGTGAGGTGGCAGTCAGTGGAATGTTGCATATGGACTGAACTGAATTCTGAGCTTCTTTCCCAGACTTGCAGGCTCTGAAGGCCATGGTAGGAGGCCAGCCCTTGGCTCCAGGTTCTCCAGCTGTGCTATGCCCCATTGGTTACATATAGTGTTGGGGTACTTTAACTTGCAGCCCACCTAGCCTAGAAATCAGCTATAATTGGCATGACCCTTGGGTAACCTCGTGAAGAGGAAGATAGCCTTGAAACAGGGTTGTAAAACATGGTAAACTGTCAATTAAAAGCTGTAACCTCAGACAGAGCTGTGAGGAATTGCTCATTAGAACCATGCAAAAGTTCTGACCAAGATGAAAGGCACCATGCAGAGATAAGCACCCATTCCTGTCTTTCTTTGTCTCCACTTGTAAATAAACTTTCCAAAGCAGGACTCCCCTGCTATTCTTATCTAAACCTT